TTGTAGGGACTCCAATAAGTGAAATAGACAAACATGTTGCTGCTCAAGATTTAAGTGGAGATAGTTCTACTAAGCCTCCTCCTTGCTTCGTCTCAGCAGAAACTAGGAGCTGCAGAACATGTTGAAAACCACTGAGCTAAGACACATCAAAGCACTTGCTGCCTTTGTTATACAAAGATGAGCTGTGCTGAAAAAGGAAAAATGCAGTCATTCCAATATTATCCTTAAGAGGATAAACCTCAAAAATCAAAATGCAGCCCTAACCGGTTTGGCTTAGTGGATAGAGTGTCGACCTGCGGACTCAAGGGTCCCAGGTTCAATTCCAGTCAAGGGCATGTATCTTGGTTGCAGGCACATCCCCAGTAGGGGGTGTGCAGGAGGCAGCTGATCGATGTTTCTCTCTCATCAATGTTTCTAACTCTCTATCCCTCTCCCTTCCTGTCTGCAAAAAATCAATAAAATATATTTTTAATTCAAAAAAATCAAAATGCAACAAAAATGCAAGATTCTAGTCACGCAAATGGATCTCCAGAATGTTATGAAACTGTTCCAAACACCACTGATAGTTGGTATGGACATGCAGGTGGCATCTGAGCTAAAATGAAATTGGGATGTATTGCTATCCCACTGAAATTTTCTTAATACTGAAGACAACTAGGAAAGAAACCATTAAGAGCGACTTTCTCAGGGTGCGGGAGAAAACACACACAGACTAAAGCCTCAGAAACCTTAGTGTTTGTGGGCATTTATATATTGTTCAGTGGTGCCAAACTGAATACAAAGGGACCCAGCTCAATCTCACCTCTTACCACCTCTCAGTTCGAGACCTTGATTTAAAAAAAAAAGCCATTTATAGTCACAAAGAAACGTACATTCTTCACAGTTCATCTCACTCCTATTATAACAACTCCCACTGGAGCAAAAAATAAATTATAAGGTTAAAACAGCAAAAGAGTAGAGCTGCTCAAAGAATGAAGGCTGCTAGCCTGAAACATCAACCCGTAATTCTCTTTTTTCATATAAATATATTCTTATTGATTTCAGAGAGGAATGGAGAGGGAGAGAGAGAAATATCAATGATGAGAGAATCATTGATTGGCTGTCTCCTACACGCCCCACACTGGAGACTAAACCCTGACCTCCTCGGGGTCAGGGTTTGATGCTCAACCACTGAGCCACACTGGTAGGGCCAACCCATAATTCTATAACCTTTCAGACTCATGTTATCAGTGGTGCAGGGATTAAACAAAGTTGAAAAAAGACTCCTAACTATATCATAATGGGCAATTAATGAACTGGCTATAAAACATTTGGAGAGAAACATGTCAGTATTCGTAAACTAATGACTGCAACTATGCCATCCAATTACCATTTATGACGACTAGGTTTCCCAAAGGCACACAGGTGAGAGCAGCAAAGCCGCCCTCACAGAGAGGATGCGTGTACTGCAGCTTATACACTCCTCCTGATTTCCAGTTCTCTGGCATGGAAATAGCTTTGGTTTCAGTCCCCTGGGGAAGGAAATTAAAGGGAAACAAATATAGAAATATATTACTCTCAAAAAGATTAACCATCCAGGAAGTTCCTAACTTGTCTAGAAATAAGCATTCCTTACAATCCCCTTAATAAAATTTGTCAAATCATTAACATTGCTATGAGTAAAATTTTGATAGAAAAAAAGTTTCCATGTATTATCCTCCAGCAAAATTTTTCTTCAAATAGATAAAATAATATCAGAGATGGAGTTAATTTCTCTCTTCAAAGAATCACTTCTCTGCTTACCAAGTTCATTATTCAAGAACCAAACTTAAATATCACTTTCTTTGGAAATCCCTTTTAGAAGAAAATATATATAAATACATGCTAAGCGAAGTCAGTCAGAAAAAGCTAAGAGTTACATGATTTCACTCATATGTGGGATATAAAACTGAAACTCAGAGACACAGACAGATAACAGTATGGTGTCTACCAGACGGATAGAGGTGGAGGAGTGGTAGAGAGTAGAGGAGGCCAAATATATGGTGATGGAAGATGACTGACTTTGGGTGGTGGGCACACAATGCAATATACAGTAATGTACACTTGAAATCTATTAACCAATGTCACCCCAATAATTTTTTTTTTAAATCCTGCCCTGGCAATGGCTCACTTGGTGGGAGCTTCGTCCCAAATACCAAAAGGTTGTGAGTCTGATTTCCAGTCGCAGCACATAACTAGGATGCTAGTCGGGGCAAATATGGGAGGCAATCAATTGATAGTGCTCTCTCACATCAATGTTTTTTTTTCTCTCTCTCTCCCTTCCTCTCTAAAATCAATAAAAACATATCGTTGGGTGAGGATAACAAGAAAAAATCATGTTTGTCATTCTTTCTTTTATCCACTAACGTTAAGCTCATATTTCTATTGTTATGTACTTCTCTAATGTTATTTATCATAATATATTATAATTTTCATTTTATTTATCTCCCATACTTGTGGACTCCTGAAAAGGACTATCTTTATATCCTGATTCCTGGCTCAGTGCATGGCATGGTGCAGGTGTTCAGTGATCGCTGAATTACTGTTACTCATAATTCCACCAGTTGTGGCATCACTATTGTGTGAGACTATGCAGAATCTCAGGCTCCACCTTAGACTTATTAAATTAGAATCTGCATTTTAATAAGATCCTCAGGTATTCTGTGCACATTAAAGTTTAAGAAACTCTCCCACCACCACCACCACCACCACCACCACCCCACCACCCCACCAAAAAAAAAAGTTTAAGGAACTCTACTCTAAATGTTCTCTGTGAATCTCTGGCATCCGATCTATGGCTAAGTCTCTCCTAGAATTTAACCAATATAGTACAATGCTTTGTATACTTGTCTCTCTCACTCTTGGACTATAAGCAACCTGGGAGCAGAGACAAAGCACTGCACCTGACAATGGAGAATGAATGAATGAATGCAAGCAACTACAGCATAAGAACAATGTCCTCTTCCTAACTGAATCTTATTAAATTATTGGCAATTCATAGAGCCATTAATATAAAAAACCTAGTGTGTCATCATCTGTCTAGTCACACCCAATCCACACTCACTGAACACATTTTACCTACATATTATCCTACATACTTTAATCTTGTGGTTCTTTTAACCCAAGTTGCCATCACTTTTATAATATTAATTAAAAACTGATAAAACAAATGAAGAAAAAAAGAAAAGGAAGAGAATACTTACTGCTTGCCTACTGTATGCCTATCACTGTGTTCAGCATATTACATTTAATATCCAACCACATTTAATAAAGAAATCTAGAATACACAACACAAAAATCTAGTGATATTTACTGATATACCTCCTTTCCTAATAGAAATGTAAACCCTAACAAGATGCTTGTCTTCTCTTGTCATCTTACCTGAGGTATGTAACCCGACTCCAACATGAGAAGATGAATGCATACTATCAAGGCATCACTGGGACTAGAACAGTCAGCTGACTGATACAGGGTCTCTAATGAATGGGGCACTTGCCCTTCCTCTGATTCACTGCAGAGCATTGGTTCTGAGGGGTAGAAACCTGTGTCTTCATCCGTATCCACAATATCTTCAATTGACTCAGCTTCAACATTTTGACTAGGCCCTGGCTGAAAAGGAAAACAAACAATGAATTCATAAATAGACTTTTATACATGATATTTTGTATCCTAAAGTGAACTGAGATTAGTGCTCAAAGTCAAAGCACATTATTGGGTTCAGAAATGGGACACATTAAAGCAAGCCCTCCTACATAAATGAGCCTGTAATCTACTCCTCCATTCCAAATTCCTTATCTCCATTAACCTGGAAATCTTCCTAGATTTCTCAGTCTGCGTTACTAAACTCCACCCCAATCTGATCATACTTCAAAGTTCCACTGAACCTATCTCCTAAGTATCTCTAAAATCTGCCCCTTCCTACTCCAACAGTACTTCACACTCATTTATCTCCTGACTTCCAGCAACAGCCTCCCCAATACATCTGACTCCACTTTTTTATCTTCCATACATTCCACCCACTGCTGCCAGTGTTCTGACAATTAAGACTCCAATTATGTCCTATGTCCCAACTTAAACCCTGTATTTCCCCAATGTAGACAGCAGCATTTCCCTAAATTGTGCCTTGAAATGTGACCCTAGATGTTCTTAGGAAAAAAAGAGGTTGACAATAAAATAAGTTGGAAAATGCTACATGCTATTGCTACCTAACCTTCCCTCCATATTCACCAAGTATGCTGTGGCATTACAAAGCTCTCAGAAGTCCAATAATAATGAACGCATAACCAAGAAAGGCTATCCTCCTTCCTCACTTACTTATAATTTCATGAAACAAGTCTCTCATAGAGGACATGCTAAGAAATGCAGGCCTACAAATAAAGTCCAAACTCCTAAGCTCCTTAGCATACAAGGCCTTTCGTCACCTGATCCCTGACTCTGTATCAAGTTCACTTTCTGCCAGTCCCTTCCTCCCGACTCTAGCAGGCTCCACCTCTTCAACAGAAGTGACACCGACTACCCTCTGCTTTGCAAAGGCTGTATTACTCCACTTCATCACAGTATTGAAATTTTCTAATTACTCATCTACACCCTACCATGACCACAAACTTAGAAATGAGCAAACTACATGTCACCTATTTGTATAACCCCAGTACAGTACCTAACACATAGTAAATGATGAAGTATATCTTACAATTCATAATGTTTTTGTTTTCAGTGTTTTCTCATTTGCATCATGCAAAAATGCTAAAAAATAGGCATGACAAATGATGTCACCTTTTTATACATGCTGTAATTGTGACTCATAATAAATAACAATCAAGGTTACCAACTAATAAAACTTTGAAGTGAACAAGCTCGCCAGATTCCCAGTTCATGGCTTTTAAACATAATATGCTGCTTCAATAAGACTACTTTACTTATGTTAACTTTGCTCACAAAGTTGGTTTTCTAGGCTTGTGCTCAACTCCTAATGCAAAGCACATGTTTCTTCTTTTTCAGTTCATGTTTCCATTAAAGAAGGGGCAGAGGAAATTAAAATTACATACTATGAGTCCAAGGGTGGGAGAATGTCAAGGAGCATGAGGCTATTCTAAAATCCCTGGTGGCTTATGAAAAACATCCAAATTCACTTGTTAAAACCTAGAGGGCAATGATGACTCACACTACCTAAAAAAGGAGGTTCCAATGGACACAGACACTGGGGCAGTGGGGGCTTGCCCGGAGTGGGAATGGCTGGATGTAGGGAGGCGGGGGGAGGCAGTCAAACGGGGGGAAAGGAGACATACGTAAAATTTTAGACAATAAAAAAAGGAGGCTCTATCATATTTTGAACAAACAGAAATTACTTATTAAAACCACTTAACACCTAACTAAATTATAAAGTGTACAGGTTCTTTGCTTCTTATCTACTAGAGGCCTGATGCACAGAATTCGCGCAAGGGGCTTGGCCCTCGCAGCCCAGGCTGCCTCGGCCGGCCCTCACAGCACCTAGCAGCCTCAGCTGGCCCTCACAGCCCAAACTTTGTCCGGAAGGTCATTTGGAAGGTCATCTGGACAGTCATTCTGCTATTCAGTCTAATTAGCATATTAGCTCTTCATTATATAGGATTATGCCTAACTTGGGGCCATTAACTACTTACTGACAGTTGCATGGGAGAATATATGTGAAAAAAATATTGAAAAGGTTGCCCTAAACTGATAATGACATAAGAGGAAGATATCAGAATCCCCTGGTGAACTTATCAAACCTTACTGCCACTCCATGAGAACCACTGGCATTCACTGAGCCATTCTGATATGATGAGAATATTTATCTTATTCTTCACGCATGGGGAAGTGAAAAAAAATGTTCAGCGCCACCTCTCTGAACAGATCATTTACTAGTATCATATGTCATTTACAAATGACTGGAACAAGTGACTAAAATGCAGCTTATAGCTAACATTAGGGTCTAATACCCAGTTATCTGTTTCCCATTAAAGAATCAACAGGTACTAGATGAGTTCCCAAATATAACAGCATCTAAGAAAATTAATTTACACTTAACTGCAAGAGTAAAATTTTCCTATTTTCATTTTCTAATGCTCCGTCCTACATTTAATTAGCAGACCCTACTGTTTCAAGTACTTAATGCATTATTTATGAGATTTCAAGCTGTTTCCACACGAAGGTTTTACAGTCGTCCTATACAAGACTTAGAGCACAAAACAGCTTGCTTTTGGAACTTAAATTACTAACTTGAGGTAATATTAATTTCTCAAAAGTTTCCAAAAGAAAACTAGTAAAGTAACTATTACATATACTATGAAAAGTTCCATTTTACTGGACAATTTTAATAGTACACAGAAGCAAAGGGAATGGGCCCTTCCACCAGAATCTCTGAAGGGGTCTATCAGCAAAAATGATACAGAAATGAAATTTAAATATGTGACTGAATATTCTTACTCATTCCCTAGATTACCTCTATGAAACAAAAACACAAAATTACATAATTTCTTAAAAAAAACATACACATAAAAGTAGGTACATTAAGCTTTATAAAAGCTTTTTTTAACTTGCTTAATCTCTCTGGATACTATTACTAAAAATCTGAACATAAATGCTTTTCATAATTTACAAACCTGTTATAAAGTATTTTTTGTATATGTGTATACTGAAAGACATGCTAGGCACAATGAATAATTATAAATGTTTAAGGCCCACGAAAAAAAATTAAGTTGAAGAGATAAGTACATAGACAAAACCATTAACAAGCTGACATATATATTAATAAAGTAATAAAAATGATCACTTGAGACTTACAAGAAATCAAAAGGCAGGATAAAAAATGAGGTGTTTCCAAAGCAATAGAGATAATAAAGATAAATTAAAGAAAAGTATTATGTTTGGCAGGGCCTTAGGACGGGTAGAGATACAGACAGGAGGGAGAGGAGAGGTAGTGAATTACAGGCTGGGTGAGCAGCAAGAGCAAAGGTGCGAAGCAGTCCTTAGGTAGTGTGTACGTGTGCACATGTTTGTGTGTTGGCTGGTAGAGGGAAAATAAGGAGTCTGGCCTGACAGGAGATGGCAGTTTACAGGAGGGAAGAACAGAAACCAGCCCTGTAAAGGGTGTGGGGCAACTTCTCACAAAGCCTTACAAACTGGTACAGGGGGAGAGACATTCTCCTCCTCTGCACCATGACAGGGATGAACTAGAGATATGTGGTCTTTTTCAATTCAAAAGTGTGAGCACGGGTATATCTGTGACACAGAGTAATTAAGAGCAAGGGAACAACAACATAACCAAAAAGCTGTAGAAAGAAAATGAACCTAGAAAGTGCACTGAAGAACAGACACTGAAAGCCTGAAATGGAAAGGAAACACTGACAGGGCTTGTTAAGGGGTTGGGTATGAGGAGTCAAAAATCACTCCAAAGTTTTACGCTCAGGAAAACAGTAGTACCACTGACAAACAAAAGAACATCAGTGCACATATTTTCAAATTTATGTTGGCATAGAGAATATGAAGTAACAATATTTTTTGAGATGACAATGTTTAACACCCAGGTATTAATGTCCAGCAAATCATTTGGAAATAACTGGACTATGTATAGCCTTAACAAGTGGAGTAGACCAGAGAAGCAAAGCTGGGAACATGAGCTTAACCAGTTAACTGCCACAATATCTTGAATTAAAAAAGGTCCGCCACTTGTATCTATAGACGCTTATGGCATACAAATAGTTAAAGGCAGCGATAGAAGCCAAGGGGTAATTTATCTGAAGGGGTGAATGAATATCTGAACAAAATAAATAGGTAAAAACTGGGTTCTTCAGGATGCCCAATATTAATCCAGGCATTTAGCAGTTTCAAAAATGTTTCTATAAGAATATAATCTGCAGTCTACTGATGATAATGATCCTGACTGGCTCAGAATTCAATCAAGTATGATTTGTCAACTACCCATTTTCTGTCTGAATAGTAATACCCACCATACTGCCATCATTCCAGACATCGGATTGGGCTGCCTCTCCTTGGAATGAATCAGTCCGCTGTTCATCCTGTATGCTGGACTGACTGGAGGGGGTGGCCAAAGAAGGTTGGTCATTATTCTGGAGTGAGGAATGCTCTGAATCTGTGGATGAAGGTAAGTTAGGTGCTGGAATGGCATCTTCAAGAATCAAACATATCAAGTCCCCAGAAACAATCCCATATGAAGCCAAGGTCTCTTCATCTCCAGTGAGGGCATCCTTGTTGTTCAATGTAATTGCAAACCGGGTATCAGAACTGCCAAGAAAGATGGATAAGGATGGTAAGAGCTACCTACCTATTACCATTATCCTCAACAATCATATATTTGGAACATATATAAGGTACATGGTCTGACCCTAGACGAACTAAATAATGAAAACGAAACAAAAATAAGAAGGAAGCCAAGTTTGGAAAAACAACCAAATTATTTGTTCTTATCACCAAATGCCTAGGTTACAGATTTCTAATGGCAACAATTCTAGCCTGTGGGATAGGATACAGTAATTATCTATCATTAATCCATGTTTTCATCAGTTCTAAGACACATACTTTTTAATATTTTGATCTTTAAAATAAGGATGCTTCTTAAAATCTATGACATATCACAGCTTAACAGACAGCATTTTTTCCTTTAGTGTTATATAAAACAATCTAAGAGTGACAGCAACTGAGATTCAACGAAACATAGTCTTTTCAAAATGTAAATTATAGCATTCCTCTGCTGAAAATCCTCCAATGGTTTCTATTGAACTTGGAACAGAGTCCTTAACATGGCCTCCAAGCCCAAGAGTTGACCCCAACCTGCTTCTCTACCTCACCCACCTTGCACCATCCTTCCTCTCACCGACTGTTCTCTGTTCACATGAGCTTCCTATCTGTCCTCAAAACAAATCTACTTCACTGCAGCCTTTGGGCCTCTGCATTTGCTCTTCCAGCTCAACTGACTCCCATCATTCAGGTCTCAACTCAGAAGTCACCTCTTCAGAGATGCCTTCCACCAATCTCCATCACTTGATTTCATTCTCATGTTTATTTTTATTGTAACTCCGCTATTTGAAAATAACCTTATTTATATGTTGTCTCTCTTTCCAAACCCCTACATTAGAAGTTAAGTTTCATAAGATCAGGTATCTTGTCTGTCTAGTTCAAAACTGTATCTGCAGCCTCTACTATGAAAACAAACTTGAAAGAGAAACTAACTTGGGCTCTTGGGTAAACAAGGAGTCACACTGTGTTGCACATCCGTTTAAGACGGCCCCTCCTAATTAAAATAATAATAATAATACACACACACACACACACACGAAAATATCTTAAAAAGAGAGGTTAATTTTGAAAATGTGTGGTGGGGTGATGAAGTCAGCATCAAAACTCTTAGGTTTAACACCAAGAAATTACAATAGGCATGTCACTTAGTATGTTTAAAGGGAGTTATGTCAATACCTCATTTTCTATTTTTGTCTTAATTTGGGAAAAAATCAGGCCTACTTTTAACCTGAAAAATGGAAGGGTGAGTAGTTCATAATATGGTCTCATTTTTTCTGAATTCCCCACAAATAAAACGGAAGTTTGCAAAAGGAGCCACTTAATTAACAGAAAGGTTTTCTTTTTAAAGAATTCCTCTAAAAAGCCCCAGCGAACATTTTTTTTTTCTTAGCACAAAATTCCAAATTTGAAGAGGATCACCCTTATGTCCCTCTATTCCCAGATTATTGTCCCCAGAAGATACCCTCAGTGGAAACAAAGCTGCCTCATCTGCAGCCCCATAAACAACAGACTTTGATTCTTTCCTTCTCAACGTCACTGCCTCCAGAGTCATCATAAGGCCCACGTGTACCTTCGTTTTAGCAAAAAAGCAACATCTCGCCCAGGAAAATAGGATTATTTGAAACACCCGGACACGCTGCACTTCGCAAAACTTAGCAGCGGTCCCCGACCAGGTAGCTGAGTCCTCCCCAAAGGCCAAGGTTGCAGGTTCAATCCCCGGTCAGGACACATACAAGAATCAACCCATGAATGTACACATACGTGAAACGACAAATCGATGTTTTTCTGTCCCTAAAATCAATTTAAAAAAAAAAATAAAAACTTTGCAGGGCGCTCACTGCGGCGCCCGCATGTAGTAAACACCCAATGAAGCCTTCCGATTATTGCAGCCTCAGCGCAGCACAACAAGGTGCAGGTGGCCTCGGAGGCGGGGCCGACTGCTAACTCCTTCTAGTACTTTCCAAACTTTTTCACTGAAATACCCCGGCACCTGGGGAGGGTGAAGTTACATCCCTGGGGGGCCTGATAAGTTTTAACCCAAACCAAACCCGTAATTTCCAACTTGACGTCTCCAAGGGCGGGGGAGCTCTGCGCGCCGCCGCTTATCCCCGGTTCGTTTACTGGAAAAACGGAAGCGACAGCTCACCCTGGAAGGGGACGGAGCCCCCCGGACGCCCGGCCATGTCCTCCGAGCCGGGACCCAACGCCC